TCTATATAGTCTATACTATAGTCTAGTATATAGTCTAGTCTAGTCTAGTCTATAGTCTAGTCTGTAGTCTAGTCTATAGTCTAGTCTATAGTCTAGTCTATAGTCTAGTCTATAGTCTAGTCTATAGTCTAGTCTATAGTCTAGTCTATAGTCAAGTCTATAGTCTAGTCTATAGTCTAGTCTATAGTCTAGTCTATAGTGTAGTCTATAGTCTAGTCTAAAGTCTAGTCTATAGTCTAGTCTATAGTCTAGTCTATAGTCTAGTCTATAGTCTAGTCTATAGTCTAGTCTATAGTCTAGTCTATAGTCTAATAGTTATGTCTAGGTCTAGTAGTATAGTCTAGTCTATAGTCTAGTTTTATATAGTCTAGTTTATATTATAGTCTATAGTCTAGTCTATAGTCTAGTCTATAGTCTAGTCTATAGTCTAGTGTCTTTGTCAATTCTTCTGCCTATTTTAATCTTAATTAATTTATTGCAGGAGGTGTTTCTAGTTTCGTGGGAAATCCACCGCCTATGAGCAGCTTTGGACCTGGGGGACCGCCTAAGAAACCACCACGACGTAATCTATCGGTATCACCCACAAATAGTGGACAACCATTTAGTTACACTTCACCCAATCATCAACAGCAGAATAACTATGGCAGAAGACAAACCCGAAGTCCATCAAATGACAGTCCCTATTCACATCAAAGTCATGGTAGTGTTGGATGAATAAGTTTTGATGAATCACAGCTAGCGGAGCGTCAAAGAGGAAATCGTTTGTTTGCTAGTGCCCGGGAGACGGCACGGACATCGGGGGGAATATCGCTAAGCTCAAGTAGTAAGCTCAAGAAAAATAATCAATTAGTATTAATGATTTAAAACAAAACTCTTTTGTTCATAAAGCTGATATGTTGGAGAAGCGTCATCATAGTGATGATGTGGAGAATTTAGTGCCAAATTCAAATCAGGAAATCACCAATTCAATGAAGAGACCAAAACCAGCACCAAGAAATATAAATAACATTAATGAGGTTACAATAAGTAATGATAACGGTACACTGAAGTCATACAATCCAAATCGTAAATTAAAAAGGAATCGTAATAGCTAGTAAGTAGTGAGATCATGAAATAAAAATAAACTATAATTAATAATATAATGTTATTTAAGCTCTATAACTTTGGGTGATAAAGATGAAAAGGGAGATGAAAATAAGCCTCAAATACCCAGAAGTCCTACTAACTATAAACAACCACCCACACCCGATCATCCTCCTCCTTCTTCTAGTCAGGCCGAGAAAATGATACACGAACGCATAAGACCTTTGAGTCAGGAATACAAACGGCGATCAGCACTTTTGCAATTGCAAAAACAACAACAATTATTGGTGGATATGGGTACTTCACCCCTAAGGCAAATAAATAACAACAGCAACAACAATAGCAATAATACTAATCTAACATCACACTATGATTACGCCTACATACAACCTTCGCCCACTAAACTTAATACCAACACTGTTTCATCCAACATCTATTCCACTATTGGATCAGGAGGCATTAGAGGTTCTATGGGTTCCTTAAGTTCTAGTGTCTCCTTATCTGATCACAGTGGTTCCACCGAAAATGTAGAAGAATTTATTGGCGACCAACCATTTGCGGGCCTCCTAAAAGGTTCAGCTGCCCATAGTAGTAATAAACAAAAAATTGAACCAGCATATGCAACGGTTAATAAAACCTCCAAAATTAACCCACCTCAAGTCCAACTACCACCACCTAGACCACAACAACAACTGCCTCCACAAGCTCAGGTGCCCGTTTACGCTACCATACATAAAAAACGGGGTATATCGACAACAGCTCAAGCTGCGGAACAGCAAAATGTTAACAAGGCCAGACCTCCAATACCAGCCAAACCCGTTGTACCCGAGAGAAGACTATTCAAAGCCACACACCACAACTGCCTACGGCAGAGCCCCAAGAAACAACGACTGACTGTAACAACGAAGCAGAAACTCTAGATCATGAAATGAAAAATGACACCGAAGACCTGTATGAGGACATAATGGAACCAAAGACAATTGTGGAAAATAATGTTAGTAAAATAAACGAAGTCAAGCAAGAGTCTCAAGAGAAACCAAACAGTGATATTTTAAGTCATCAAAGTTCCATCAATAGTTCTTCGAATGAAGAACAATCACAGTTGACTTCGTCACAACCTACTAATGAAAGTTCCAATGAAGATACAAGTTCCATAGCCAATAACTCAACAACATCACATGAGAGCAGTATACTAAGTCCTTTTAATGCCGAAGAAGCTAGAAAGAAAATTTCCGAAATTCTAGAATCCTTCGGCAGTAGTATACTAAATTCTGATATTTCTCCTACTAATGATTTGGATTTCGATGATACTGAAATACCAGCAGAGAGACAAGAACTTGTAAGTCGTTTAAGGAAATCGGGTTTAATGCATTTGGAAAAGAAACTGTTCGAGCAGGGTTATGATAATGTTAAATTTATGGTGAGTTAAAAACTTTGAAAACCATATCCATATTAGCTTTAACTTTATTCCTATTACAGAATGGTGTTTTCGAAGAATCCGATATAGAGTTTTTAAATATATCCCAGCAGGATACTGCCAAATTACTGAGGTTTATAAAAACTTTACCTAAAGCCGAATTTTTACCACAAGTTCCACAGAAAAATCAACAGGAAAATAAATCTTTAACTGAACTGAAAGGTGTTTCAACTCTTCAACAATGGCTTCAAAGCATACAATTGCCCCAATACACTGAATCGTTTAGGTAACTTAATGAAAACATTTTTGAAAATTCTCAAAATTTTAGCAAAATATTTAATTTTTCCTATAAAAAAAGCAAACATCTTTACAACACTTTGGATAGTGTTTGTGGCGTTTGGGATGTGGAGTTACAAACTGTATTGGAAATCAATAAACTGGGTCATCGTCGTCGCATTCTTCAATCGATAGCCTTTATTAAAAATATGCGAGAACCCAAATCGGCCAAAACTCCTCTGGCAGAAAACAATGAGACCAATAAGATATCTTTAAATGTCAACACTAAAGATGGCACTCAAAGGCAATCGATAACTGGTTATCGTAAAAATAGGTTAGTTGCAAATTACTGGTTAAAGTTTGTAGAAAAATTTATTATTTTTTATTTTTCATTGAAGACCTGCCTCCTCAACCTCCCATACAGAAGGCAACACAACAAACACCTACAGCTCAGACATCTTTGGATATACGTGCTCCTTCGGAATTACTTTTAGGTTTACCTGACAATTTGCGCACAAAATGGAGGCATTCTGCAAATGATTTGCTCAACGAACAAATAAAATATGAAGTTTATGTGAGTTACTAACATATTTATAAACAAATATAATTAATTAAAATAACAAAAATAATTAATTAAAAAAAAATAAAAAATTTCTATAAAATGGAAATTTAACAATTTTTCCGAAAGTTTTTTATAAAAAGAAATTTTATCCGAAAATTTGTATAGAAAAAAAAAATCAGTGGTGATAGAGGGTATATATAAGTTTAATCGTTCCGTTTGTAACACCAATAAAATAGTCATCTGAGACCCAACAAAGTATATATATATTCGGATCCTTATCAAATTCTGAGTCGATTTAGCTATGTGCCATCTGTCCGTCAGTCTGTCTGTCTGTCTGTGTAAAACAATCAAGCAATTCAACCGAAAAATATTTATTATTATCCTAAACAGTTTCATATTGAAAACCAGTAAAATCGGTTCAACAACATAAAAAGTTATGAATACAAATTTCAGACAATCTCGAAAAAATTGAGTTTTTTTCCTAATTCTAAAGCAGTTTCTCAGAAACTACCAAAGAGATTTCGAAAATTATAACAAGCGATCCAAAATTTCCATAGTCTCCGTACAAAGCTACCTATTTCCGGATATTAATTTATCGTGAATAACTCCCTCAAATATATCGGTATCAACACAAAATTTTCCACATATAATATAACATGAGAGGAATCATAATACCAACGTAGATCTATATTGGTCCACAATTGGTCATAGCTGCCATATAAGGTCCACTTCCGAAAATGCACATATTTCGATGATTAATAAAGCTATTGTGATAAAATTCGGCACAAATATGTTTTGTCTATATGTGAATCACTCTATGAAATGGTTTCCGGATAGGCCCGTAATTGGTCATAGGTCCACTTCCGAAAATTACTTAAACGCACATATTTCATTGGCAAATAAAGCAATCTTAATAAAATTCGACAAAAATATGTTTCGTGTACATACGATTCACTCTACGATTTTTTTCCGGATAGGCCCGTAATTGGTCATATCTCCCATATTAAGTGCACTTTCGAAAATCACTTAAATGCATGTATTTCTTTGAATAATAAAGCTATCGTGATAGAGTTCGACTTCAATATGTTTTGTGTGCATATAAATGATTCTACCGGATTTTTTCCGAATCGGATCTTAATTGGTAATAGCTCCCATATAATGTCCACTTCCGAAAATCACTTAAACGCACATATTCATTGGCAAATAAAGGCATCTTAATAAAATTCGACAAAAATATGTTTCGTGTACATACGATTCACTCTACGATTTTTTCCGGATAGGCCCGTAATTGGTCATATCTCCCATATAAAGTCCACTTTCGAAAATCACTTAAGCGCACATTGACAAACCAAAGTTATCGGGATAAATACGTCATAAATGTGTATTTGTAAATATAAATAATTATACGAAGTAAATTTTCGTCTTATAGAACATTTTCGGATAAAATTTTGTTTTAGAAAGTTTCGGATAAATTTTATTTTTATAGAATTTTTCGGATAAAATTTTCTTTTATTAAATCTTCGGATAAATTTTTCTTTTTATCGAAAATTTTCGGATAAATTTTTCAATTTATAGACAATTTTCAGATAAATATTCTTTTTATAGAAATTTTCGCATAAAATTTTTTTATAGAAAATTTTCCGATAGATATTCTTTTTATAGAAAATTTTCGGACAATATTCTTTTATGGAAAGTTTTCGATAAATTTTCTTTTAATGGAAAGTTTTCGATAAATTTTCTTTTTATGGAAAGTTTACGATAAATTTTCTTTTTTAGAAAATTTTCGGACAAATTTTCTTTTTATGGAAAGTTTTCGATAAATTTTCTTTTTTAGAAAATTTTCGAAAATTTTCTTTTAATAGAAAGTTTTCGATAAATTTTTCTTTTTATAGAAAGTTTTCGGAAAAATGTTCTTTTTATAGAAAATTTTCGGAAAATTTATATTTTGTTTTTATAGAAATTTTTCGCTTAAATTTTCTTTTTATAGAAAATTATCATAAAATTCTAATTGGTCATATCTCCCATATAAAGTCCACTTTTGAAAATCACTAAACGCACATGGACAAACAAAGTTATCGTGATAAAATACGTCATAAATGTGTATTTGTAAATATAAATCATTACCACGGAGTAAATTTTCGTCTTATAGAACATTTTCGGATAAAATTTTCTTTTATTGAAAATCTTCGGATAAATTTTTTTTTTTATCGAAAATTTTCGAATAAATTTTTATAAAAAAATTTCGGATACATTTTTTTATAAAAAATTTTCGGATAAATTTTCAATTTTATAGAAAATTTTCGGATCAAATTCGGTTAAATTTTCTTTTTACAGAAAATTTTCTGTTAAATTTCTTTTTACAGAAAATTTTCGGATAAATTTTCTTTTTATAGAAAATTTTCGGATAAATTATCTTTTTACTGAAAATTTTCGGATAAATTTTCTTTTTATTGAAAATTTTCGGATAAATTTTTCTTTTTATAGAAAATTTTCGGATAAATTTTCTTTTTATAGGAAAATTTTCAGATAAATTTTCTTTTTATAGAAATTTTCAGATAAATTTTCTTTTTATAGAAAATTTTCGGATAACTTTTCTTTTTATAGAAAATTTTCAGATAACTTTTCTTTTTATAGAACATTTTCAGATAAATTTTCTTTTTATCATAAAAAATTCTATAAATGTATGATTTGTTCAAGAATTCTCTAAAAATAAACAATTATCCAAATATTTTTAAATGGGAAAACATTTTCCTAAATTATCAAGAGTTTATATTTATTAAAAGTTGTCCATAAATTTTGTTTTAAAAATAAGCTTGAAAGTTAATATAGCCCTTAATAGCCTTTACGTGTTTGACAGTTTGAAATTCCCCTGATTCCCCGAACACAAATTCAGAAACTTAAAACTTAATAGATTGATCAAATGTTTTTGTTAAAACAAAACACTTATATTATGGCAACAGATGTCAAGGTATTGACTTCCATACATCAAGATTTTTAAACTCTATAATCTCAGGGCATAGTGGTGTGTGTATATTTATAACACAATACATTTATAACCCATCGACAATTTAAGATGTATATTAATTATAATTAATGGTTTTTCGAAATTTAAGAAAAGACATTTGAACAACTGTTTCCTGGTCTTCCCTTCTTCTTAAGAAAATTGTGTCATATATTTGATAAAAATAAAGAAAATTCCAATTAATTCTTTGCAGTATTTAGGCTCAACGGTTGTGAAAGAATTACGTGGCACCGAATCGACACGCAAATCCATACAAAAACTAAAACAAGATCAACAGCATAATACTACTGATGCTGCTGCTGCTAACACTGCTACCAATATGTTAATGTCTTCCCAGTCAGAAACCAATGCTGCCCGTAATCAATCATTAATAAACCAAAAACGTATACTAGTGTCATTGGCCATCTCGCACAGGGGTGTAGAGTTTATAGATGTGAACAGCAAGGTATGTGTGTGTGTGTGTTTAAGGCACGATCGATTTACAGCAATACCAATTAAATGTATTTTTTTGTTTTCTTTTGTCTCTTTTTCTCCCCCATACGGCATTTATGATTTGTAGAACACCATTTGTGAACATGAATCCAAAATATAAATTGTGCATGTCAAGATGCAGAAGATCTATGTCATTTTGCCTATATTACCAAGGAAAATGATGTGCACTATTGTCATGTTTTTTATGTAGAGAGTACGGTAAGTTTTTGTAGCAAATTTTAGTCTTTAGTTTTCAAATTGTGCATAAATTATGATTTGATGGAATATTCTTTTAATTGCTTAACAGGACTTGGCTTCCGATATAATATTGACTTTGGGTCAAGCATTTGAGGTGGCCTATCAGTTGGCATTGCGTGATGGCATTACAGCCACACCATTGGCCTCTTTGAACAATAGTATACTACAAGGTCTTGAATTTAATAAACAACAGACATCGATCAATACTAAAACTCAAGAAGCGTAAGAAGACCAAAAACTATTTTTTTTAAACTTAAACAAAAAACTATAAAACTGTTTTTTTTTTAATTTAAAATTGCGATTTTTTTAGTTTTTAATTTAAGTTAGTTAAGTAAGTCAGTGTTTTATGAAACGATAAAAACGGAGAATATATATAAAAAACAACGGTTCTAGTCTTAAACTTAAAAGAAAACAATATATATACTTAACGAAAAAACAAAACATTATACAAATGAAAAGAGTTTAGAAACTTTTTAACTTTAAATAAGGGCGGAATGTTGTAATATTACAAATTGAAATTTTTTGCACAAATTTTACAAAATATTAAAATTTTTTTATATAAACTTTTTTAGCACAAACAATGTTTTTACTTGCACCAAACAACAACAACAACAAATATTTAAAGAAAACAAAAAACTTGTTGTTTTTTGTTAAATTTATTTATTATTGAGCTTAAAACAATCAAACCTTTTTAAAACTATTTATTATACTTTTTTTCTTTAAACAAAAATCATACTATTATCTTTATTTTTTAAAACATAGTCATTTTTATTTGAGAGAAATGCATGATTCTTCTTTTAGTTCTATCAACCAAAACAAAAAAAAAAACAAACCAACTAATTTTCATATTCAAAATTTCAATTTGCTGTTGCTTAAAAATTCTTTCTTCATATTTTTCATCTTATTTTTTTTCTATTTCTGTCTATTTTTAGTACTTATGAACAAGATCTCTTTCATTCTACATTCATTGTTGACATTTGGTCGTTATAAGGAAAATTTGTCTTTTACATCAAAATTAACACAGAGATTTAGTGTTAATTTGATTTTATATATATTTAATAGGTAAGCAGTAGGGTATTTTTTTCGATTTTCATGGAATACCTTTAATACTTGATATAATACTATAACGCTAAAAACTGAAGTTAATAGTTTAAATGTATCATATAGGTTTAAAATCGTCTCGACTGATCTGATCTGAATCCGATTCGAGATATCGTGTTCATATCTGAGATTTGAGATATCGTTTTCTGAAATGTAAAAATATGCCATTGTTGGTCCTTTTTAGACGATATAAAACAGCGCCAAGACAACTATAAATGTTGTATGCCAGCTGAAACTCCATTTTGTCAGCTTTAAAATAAAAGCTTGAGATTTAACATACCTTAAGAATGTGTTGGAGAATTCTCCAACACATCTAAGATTCGAGATATCGTGTTCTGAAATGTAAAAATATGCCATTTTTGGCCCTTTTTAGACGTTATAAAACAGCGCCAAGACAACTATATTTATAAAATGTTGTATGCCAACTGAAAGACCATTATGTCAGCTTTAAAATAAAAGCTTGAGATCTGACATATCTCTTTTAGCCTTCGAGATATAAACAAAGTTGTCTTGGCACTGTTATAACTTCTCAAAAAGAGCGAAAAATTAAGTTTTTCACGACATGATATCTCGAAACTCAGATGTGATGGAGAAAACTGGCCTAATCCTTTGGAAAACTGTAACTCAGAGTTTCGCCTGTCTTTCTAAAATACTAATTACAAAATTAATTTTTTTTGAAAAGCATTCCTTTAAAAATCATATAGGAACCTAAGTTTTCATACAATCCACCATTTTAAACATTTGTAATTTATTTTTACTTAGTCTTGTCATTAATTTCAAATATTTCGAAAACTTTCAGGTCCTTTCGCTTAGGCCCTATAGCTTATAGATTTGTTTAATATATTCATAACTAGTCTTAGCAATACCTTTGTTAAAAAGGTCTTGCAGATATCATCAATACATTTAATCACCCTGTATTTCCAATAAATCGCACCAGAGTAAGACCTCTGCTATACTTACTAACAAGTGTTCCATAACAAGCTCCGCTAATTATCGACGGCAACCCATTCTGGTACTACAGGGTTTTTGACACCATATATCTCATTCCATACGTCTCATTCACACTTATGTAATGCATTACTTTGTATAACTGAGCAGTCTGTGTCAACGTCGTACTGTCGTTTTAGCTCGAAGTGAGGTTATGTTTTGACTGATGAAGACCTTAGAATACTCCAACCGTTTATACTCTAGTGAATATCATTAAAACTCTTCAACTTTACTCTATGGAGTTTCATTGAAAACTCAATCTTTACTTGAGTGTTCCTAGATTTCTATATGAATATATAGATCGACTTTCCAACTTGGAGAATTTCCTTTAAACCATTTTGGTGGTTTATGAGCTCTGTCATTTAGTTGAATAATCTAAATGAAAAGAACTTGTTAAAGAGTATTCTTGCTGATGTTGTCGAACTTGATTGAGAATTCCAGAACACTATTCTTTACGCTACTTTTCTCCTTTAAGGAGATTTTCCACTCTCTTTCTGCGAGCGGTTTAACTTAAACCTTTCTTAACTTGGTCGTGCTGTGTACGGTTTCCCAAAACTCATATACCACTGCTTGGCAATTTATGATCCATTTTCCTAAATTGGTCGCCACTTTGGGTGTTTTGACGATGGTTCTGTATAAGATGATCATTGAGTTTTGACACAGACAACTCACCAAGTTTGGCTATTAAGTAATGACCAAGAAATTTGTATCTCTTGGCGGCTAGAGCAAGAAAATCGCAGAGCAGATGGGAGACCATTTCTTCCCTTTCTCTGTTTTTGCAACTGCAACAGTATTCATTAAAGGGGAGCCCATTCTGACCTGCATATCTGCCTATAGCCTAGTATCAAGTTATTATTGTCAGTAACCTCGATATAATCCGAGTTATATGCTATCTGGTGCGATTCTCATTAAAAGAAACCCACCTTAACTTGACCACTGTAATTATATTCCATATATTTTCAGCGATTTAAAGAAAGATCCTGAGGATACTACTGTTGATAGAACCCAACGGAGTTGATACTGAAACAGCTTTGAAGATATTCAAAGCAGATTCAGTTCTGTCTTGCTCATCTGCCTGCTTATTGCCAAAGTAGTCCCTATGCGCAGGGAACCATATTTCTATAATGTCAGACAGATGACTCAGCCTTAACAAATTCTTCTTACATTGTCTGACTAATAGGTAGGAGGTGGTATAGGAGTTTAATGAAAGAAGTACCGCTTGGCTATCGAAAAAAATTCGTATATTGCCTCGAATATTGAGATCATAGAGTTCTCCATAGGCTTACATATTGAGCGTCATACCGATGAGCAGAAAGATATAGTGTTTCAACATCATATGTCTCACCACTCGCCGATTTGTTTGGCCGAAAACATCTTTACCTTAACGTCCCTCCTCCGAAGAACACCCTAAAATTCGCCTTTTCTAGTTCCTCGGAATCTAATTCTATCGCCTTATTCGGTATGGATGGTCCATCATCAGTCATTCATATGTATTTTGGGATTCTGTAGCTTCAGACACTCCAACATCTTTGGTGCCTCGATTGCAATTTTTGATAAACTTATTGGAACTTTTTCGGCTGGTATCAGCTTATGACTTACACCAATATATTTGCCAAGACAGTCCTTCGAGAACTAGTCAGGACAATCGAAAACACTGTATCCCTTGTGAATATCACTGGAATCAAAACGAGGGTACTATACTTATTTGAAAGAAAGTGATTCATATCCAACTATACTAATTTGGATTCGATCCTGTTTTTACAGGGCTAATAACATCACCTTTGTGTTTTCCCGGATCAAGAGGAGATGATTCTTCTCTATCTCCTTAAAGGGTAGTCTGGCAGTTGTAGTCGAGAGTCCCGGCTTTTCCATCGGTTACCTTATTCCTTTTAAGGGTTTACCTCCATTTGTCTGAAAGCTGTATCGCTTGGACTTCTTTGTATTTTGGGCAGCTTCCTTAGATGCCCAGCTCATGTGGGGCATCCGTCTCAGCAACTCTTTTTGACACTTCCTACGTACTCTGCTTTTCCTCTATAGGTCGACTATCTTGGCTTCTGATTGAGGAGGGTTTATCTTGATTTTGGAGAGTAGAAGAGAGTGCTCTTAATACCTTATGATTCGTCCAAAATCTCTTGGCTAGTGGAGAGTAGCTCCTCATTTTTGCTGTTGATATATTAGTTGTTTTATTTTTATCACTCATATATTGGACCCACTAATAGGCATGTAATGGAATGGATGATCAATGCAGTGACGGTGTACATCAGTGTTGCTCAAACACATACTACCATAGACTACCATAGTTTTATTTGTGTTGGTAAAGCAGCAGAGAACAGAATTCAATTCAAAATAAAAGTATACTAATAAAATGACTACAAACTATAATGTATATGCTAACTGTCAAATATTTATTACGGATTTTGACAGCTAGCGTATATCAAAGTCTATATATAAAAAACTATCAACTGTTCTCTCATGTTCTCCTACATTAATTCGGCTTTCTCAAAATTTTGTTGTTGTATTTCTGTGTGTATTTTAAAAACGTCGCGCACAGACCTTGCTTCGACAAGTGCTGATCAGCAACTGATTTGATTTTGTTTTTCAAGTTGAGAGCAAACCAACTGATATTGCTCATTATAAAAAGAAGAAGAATTAAACCTATAGTGTATGTGTATCAACTTAGCGTCAGCAGAATTTTCTTACCCTATCACGCGTGCTATGTAATGGCAATCTTGCGCTCCTCTGGTGTACATGGACAAGTCTAGATATTAAACCTGCCCCGTGTTAGTGACTAATCTTCGTTTACCATTGATTAGCTATTTACGTTCTCGACACTAATACCAACCACTTTAACCTTACAATTATTGGATAGGACACATGGGGCAAGGGGCTTAAAAGGTAAAAAAGTTTTAGGGATTGAGTGACAACCTATAATCGTAAAGGCTTCGTTCCTACAATGCTAAAGCAGAGTTTATTAGTGAGACAAGATCCACAACCATCCTTGAAGCCACCACATAGAGGCAAGATAGTTATGCAGGTAGTGGTAGTATGTAGTAGTAGTCTAGTCGATTATATAGTCGATGGGGTAGAAGTTAGTCTAGTCAATAGTCTCACTACATTTTAATGTGTCGATCTGATAGAT